CCTGAGTTTTGGGATGACAGATGTGTGCCGCCATGGCTGCTTTTTAAGTATGATATTAGCATGTTTCTTCGGTGAGCTCTGTGTCTATATCCTTGGACCTGCTGGTGCTGGCGATGGACTCCAGGGCTTCCCCCATCTTGGGCAAGGCCTTTACCATTGAGCCATGCCCAGCCCCTTCTGGGGTTGTTTGGTTTTTTATGATTTTTGGAGCTTGCTTGCTTTTTTTCCTGCAGTACCCGGGATTGAACTCAGGCTCTTGCGCCTCTTGCGCTTGCAAGGCAAGTGCTTATTCTACTGAGCTATCTCCCCTGCCCCTTCTTTTTCTATTAGAGAAACCAACCCTTTAATCTGTGAAGTCAATCAGGATTATTTTTTTTTCCAGTTTGCCATTTGACTTGGTGGGGGTTGTGCCTTTATTGTTAAGGTGGCTACTTGAGATGAAGCCAGAAGAATGGGCTGGCTCTGGGATGGAGAGCTCATCCTGGTAGTGGCTAATCATCTCAGGCTTGATCTCCACCTGGCTGCAGACCCAGAATCTTAGGCAGACTGCTCAGGGCTGGGAATGTACGTCAGTGGTAGTGTGCTTAAAAAAGAAAATACAGTAATGAGACAAAGTTCAAGCCACAGTTCAAATAATTAAAAACAGATGAAAGATGTATACAAGTTTAAAACTGTGCATGGGGCCAGGGAGATGGCTCAGTAGTATAAGTGTTTCCCTGGCAAGCAGAAGGGCCTGAGTTTAATCCCTAGTTGTACAAAAACAAACAAACAAACAAAACAAAACAACAACAAAAACAAACAAAACTGCATGGTCTTGTGCCTCTGTAATCCTAGCACTGTGGGAGGCTGTGGTGGGAATATGTCAAGTTCCAGTCCACAGGACACCTTAGTGGCTGTCTTGGTTACTTTTCTCTTGTTGCTGAGACAAAATTAAGAAAAGATTTATTTAGCTCACAGTTTGTGCAGGTTTCAGTCTATAATCAGCTGACTCCAAGGGAGGGTGGCATAGCACAGGGCAGCAGAGGACAGCAAAATCAGCAAGAACAAAAGGGAGGAACAAGCCTCTTTCCTTCCCTTACATAGTAACCAGGCTTTCCTCCCTAGGATGGGTCCTTTACACCCACACCATCTCCATGCCCTCTTCTTGGGCAGGCTCAGGATATTTACAAAGTCAGGCCCCAGATCCCTTGCTGAGTCACATAGTTAACCTTTTAAGCTTCTCAAGTTGACACAATATATCAACCATAAGAAGGACTTAGGAAGACCCAGTCTTAAAATAAAAAAGAGCTGGGGACAAATCTCAGTGTGAAGGCTCTTGGTTCAAGTATTGTGCATGTACATGTGTGTGACAGGTGCATGCACACACACAGTTTAAAATTCTCTAGGGTTTGATTTTTGCTCAGTGGCTGAGTATGTGCTTAGTATATGCAAAGCCCTGGTTCAATCCCCCAGCACCAGAAGTAAAACACAGTTCTTCAAACTGCCACCATTGCCGGGCATGCTTATAATCCCTGCATCTGGGAGGCTGAGGCAGGAGTAGTTTGAGGCCAGTGTGGGCCACACATCAAGAGTCTCAGAAGAGAGCACCAGGCAGGGAGCCCCGTGTGTGGGAGCTTCTCAGTGTGCATGGGGTCTTGGGTGACTCCCTAATGTCCTGCCTCTCAGCAGCACAAGGTGCTCTCAGGAGGGATCCAGCCTCACCAAAGCTCTGTGAGGTGGGCTTTGCTGCCTTTCACAGATAGGAAAATCTTCTAGGCAGAAGGAGGTGCCTCGCCCAGGCTCACAAAGCAAACATGATAGAGACCTGAGTTCAAGGCCTGGACTACATAGTGAGACCCTGTCTCAAAAACGACAAAAACAACCATCATCATAACTGTCAGAACAAAATTACTAAAAATAGGAATAAATATTTGCTTCAAATATAGGTCATACAGAAGTTAACTCTCCTATCATGGAAAATAACTCACATATTGATAAGGGAAACACCAGGCCCCACGGGTAAAGGTCAGGGACAGATGAACGAGAAAACAGGAAACTCCACGTGGGAAAATCTCACGCCCACAGTCGGCCTAACAGGCTCAGCTTAACGTGGTGATAAGGTGCTTTCCTTTTTCTAATGATCCACAGGGAAAACCTGAAGAATTTGGTGCTGGGATACTGGAGCCAGGTGTGGGCCACACTGTGGTGGCAGTGACACTGTTACCCAAAGGAGACTAGGCCTGCTGCAGGTGCACTGATGTGCAGTGTCCCGCCTTTGATTCAGCTCCCGAAATCACCTGAAGCAGGGAAAGCTGCCAGACAGGGCTGGGGAGAGCCCTGTTCCAGAGGCTCTTTTCACCTCTTATCTCATGTAATTCCCTGAGCCATGGAGCATAGATAGGCAGCCAAAGTGCTGTGAGGCCAGGTCCCCATCAAGGTCACCCGGCTTGTAAAGGACAGAGCTGGCTTTGATTCTGGGTCCCTACCATAGTCATGGGGCTTTCCCCTTCCTGAATTGCCTCAGACCTCGGTCCCAGGGCAGCTTACCCTGTGTCGAGGCTGGAGCTTCGAGGCACCTCCAAGCAGGATCATGAAGACTTGCATGACAGGGAGCTGGGGGTCTCCATTTGTGGAAGAAAGCCCAGAGAGAGGACCGGAGAGGATGGTACGGACCTGACCAAGTGCAATGCACACTATCACACATGCTGTATTTCTCCTCAGCCTTGAACTTTCAGCCAAAGCTAATCTTTGTTTTGGGTTTTCATTTTGAATATATTGCTGTTTTCTTCCCCTTTCTTCTCCTTCTCCAGATTGAACTCAGCGGCTTTGTAATGAGACACACCACCAGCTTTTTAAAATATTTATTTATTTTTGGTACTGGGGAATCAAACTCATGACCTTGTGCTTACCAGGCAGGTGCTTATGCCAGACAGGCACCTTTGCTGCTGAGCTATCCCCTTGGTCCTACAATTTTTAAAATTTTGAGACAAGAGTCTTTCCTCAGTCTCCAGAGTGCAAGGAGGACGGGTGTGTGCCACCAGGTCAGGCTGAGTATACTGATATTTTTTAAAATGAAGATTAGCTACTTACTACAGTTGAATAACTATTTAAAATAAGTTTTGTTAGGACCTGGGAGATGGCTCAGTAGAATAAGCACTTGCCTGGCAAGCTCAAGGGCCTGAGTTCAGGCTCAGTAGAATAAGTACTTGCCTGGCAAGCTCAAGGGCCTGAGTTCAATCCCTGGTTCCACAAAAAAAAAAAAAAAAAAGTTTTGTTTTGGAGACAGGGTCCTGACATATAGTTCAGGCTGGCCTCGAACTCATGGTGATCCTTCTGCCTCAGCCTCCCTAGTGCTGGGATCACAGGTGAAATATCTACCTATATATTGAACAAACACATTAAAATGATTAAAAGTACGTTTGCTGTACATAGCAGTTCCTTGTAAAGTTTCTGTTTCAAATTACGTTGAAATAAGTTATTAAAAAATAGGTAGATGTGGAACTGAACAGTGTGACTTGAATCAGTAGCTCACCGGCTGTCATTCCTTCATCTGTGGAGGGAGTTGATGCTGGGGCCCTGCTCCAGAGGTGGCCATGAGGCTGCATACCAGGTTTCAACGCTTGATATGTAGTTGCCAGTGAGGGTTAATGACCATTATTTTGCACTGTCTTCCAGGGTTTTACCATATAGTCCTGGATGGCCTTTAACTTACTATGTAGCCCAGGCTGGCATGGTGAGCTGCCTGCTTTGGCCTCCCAACTGCTGGGATTATGGCTCCACTACACCTGGCTGTTAATGATTTCTCTGCGTTATACTATAGCACTTGGCTTCTGAACTTGTTTTTGAAGGAAAGCATTTATTATCCCAATAGAAGAAATGTCTATAGGATGCTAACCTCACTGAAACTTGTGTCCAGACCCATAAGGAGACAATGAACCAAGAGAAGGCAAACTCCAAAAAAACCCCCCAAAAAACCAAAAAACAAAGATTGTAGTAACTTGTAAATGTGAAAACCATATTTAAAGCTGAGAAAAGGGTTGTATAGATATGCTGGATCACTCTTCCCCTCCCTTCCCTGGTGTTGGTGCTGGGTTCTAACCCAGGGTCTTGTGCTCCTCTAAGCATAAGCATACACCACCACTGATCTATTTATATTCCTAGTTTTTAAATTTTCATTAATCTGATAACAGGATCTAGTTACCCTCTTATCATCTTTTAAGTTTTTTCCTTTCCACAAAGGGGGGGGAGGGCAATTTTTTTTTTTTTTTTCTTGAGACAGGATTTCCCTATGTAGCCCAGGCTGCCCTGGAATTTACCTAGATCCTCCTGCCTCAGTTTCCCGAGTGCTAGGATTACAGATGTGTGCCACTACACTTGCGCAGCTCTTCACTTTCCACCTTCCACGATGACAGACTTCGCCAGGCTTTCCTGCAAAGGACCTCAGGGCATATCCTGCGGGCTGCGCCCAGGCGGACTTGACTGGAGCCTGACCCCAGCACGGCTCCATTACGGCCCTAGGGGAGTGGCTCTGGGCCACAGTACGCCCCTCCAGACCCAAGAGGCAGTTCCAGCCCCAGGCACAGCACGTTACACCTGATGCTCAGCCCGAGCATCAGGAGGCTGTCCTTGGAGGCTGTCCTGACCCGGGACAGGTCAAGTGGAGGACTCCCGAACCAAGGAACAAAGTGGCACGAACGGCGGGGCGAGCGTGTGTGAAGGGGTGGTAATGGGATACAATTGCTAACGGAATAGTTTCTTATTGGACGATTTTTGCGACGATCCATCCCCGTCCTTGTGCAGACGGGGAAACTGAGGCTTAGAGAGGGAGAAGCCGGGCCCCAGGCAGGCGTCTAGGTCACAAGGACTCAGGGAGCCAGATCCCATCTCCGCATCTCCGCCCACCATCGCCGGGCTGAGAAATGGCCGCAACCGCTACTACAGGGCCACGCCCTCACGGCGAGGCCACGCCCCGGGGCGGTACCCAAGTGCAGGCCAGAGCGATAGATCCTCGACCTCGCCGAGAGTCGACAGCCAGACTGGAGAGCTCCCACAGAAACCAAGAGCGGGCGCCGCAGGCCGGGAGGAGGAGCGCCGAGCGGAGCGCTCGCTCGCCGGCTGCTACGAGCTTCTTCTTCGCGGACGCTGAGGCCGCCATCTTAGATGGCGGGAGTCAGAGCGCAGCGAACGTGAGGCGATAAGTCTTCTCTGCCGCTCTCCTTACGTGGCCAGAGGGCCAGCTGGCCAAACTTTGGGGCACGTGCCCTGAGGCGTGTAGCGCGAGGGCGACGATGCGGGATCCTCCCGGGGCTCCGTCCCCAGGGTTGGGGACGCGCCGCCTGTAAGCGCCTCCCGCTCCCTCAGCGCCGCGGGAGCAGTGGGCGCGACGCCGCCACCGCCGCCGCCGCCGCCGCCGCCTCCAGGACCGGGCGGCCTGGCACCCTCAGGTGGGCTGCGTTGTGGGCCGGAGCCAGTCGGGGAACATCTCAGCGGGCGAGCCCGCGCCGGGGGCGGGCTTGGTGGGCTCTGTCTCGCGGGGCGTGCGGCGCGCGTTCCCTGTGTGTGGCCACGGACCGCGCCGGCGGCCTGCATCTGCAGGATTATCTGCGGCGGGTCTGCTGCGGTGCGTAGCCGGGCTGGGCGGCGTGGCTTTTTGAGCCTTGCCCGTTGGCGCGGGGAGGAGACGGGAGTCGGGGAAGGGGACTGGAGTCGGGAAGGGGAGTGGCCCGCACACTGTGGGCTGCAGGGCTGTGGGTCACCGAGGAGGAGCTCGGGGTGCTGCGCGGAGCTTGAGCCTCGGGCTGCCTGTGCGGCTCGTTGGGCCGGCCGCAGGTACCCGGAGAAGTCCGCGCCGGTCTTTGTGCGGCGCGGGCAGCGGGGCGAGGCGGTTGTGCATTCCTTGTTCCCTCTGGCCCTGGGTCGCAGAGACGGGGCACCGTGTGGGGAGTCGGTGTGGGGCGACGAGCCGCTCTCGGTCCTCGGGACCTGGCGCAGCTAGTCCCGCCGGAGCCATCCGCGTCGACACGTTGGGAAGAATGGTTAGTGACCCCGAAGGAGGACTGGAGAGGGTGTTCCAAACGAGGGATCTGGGAGGCATGTGGGATTGGTGAGTTTAGGGAGCGGCGTGCCTCTGTATGTGTGCGCGTGTGGTGGGATGCTAAGACAGGAGAGTCTAAAAGGGTCGTTGGCAGATGGTGAAGGATCCTGTTATAGATGTGGATTTGTTCTAAGTGAAAGTTGATTATGTTTTGCTGATGGACCCCCCCCAAAAAAAGATTTGAACCTGATGGCAATTGGTAATTGAAAAGGTGTACTTCGTTAATCTAGTTACCATTTTTTAAAATTTATTTATTTATGTGTGTGTGTGTGTGTGTGTGGCCAGCTCAGCCCACCAGGGGGCGGGGCTGGCTGGCATGTGGTGCTGGGGGATTGAACCGTGGCCCCTGTGTTTGCTAAGTTTGTTCTAAGTAGGTGCTTTAGACCACTGAGCCATCTCACCAGCCCCTAGTTACCATTTTTGAGCTGGGTGTGGTAGTCCAAGCCTGTAATCCCGGCGCTCTTGGGAGGCCGAGGCAGGAAGATTGCAAATTCAAGCCCAGCCTGGGTGATTTAGAGATTTAGTGAGATCTTGTCTCACAAGTTTGTGTGTGTGTGTGTGTGTGTGTGTGTGTTCATGTATCTACAGTTCCCTTCCCCCTTTGTTTTATGTTCTGTGTCATATGTTTTGAACTTAACAGTGAATGAACCAAACTCCTTTCTACGGGATTCTTTCTAGAGATTTTGATGGGGCCAGGGAGATAGCTCAGTACAATAAGCGCCTGCCTGGAAACGCAAGATCCTGAGTTCAAAATAAATAAATCAATAAATACATAAAGATTCTTATAAATGTAGACTTCACAGAATATGGATTTTTAAAAGGTAGTCACTTCACATTTTAAATATTAAGTGGCTATTGACAATATAAACCGTGTTCCTCAGGAATATAGAATTTGACAGATTATGTAACACAAACATCTAAAAAAGTGTAGAATGTAAGCAATTTTTTTTTTTTTTTTTTTGGTGGAACCAGGAATTGAACACAGGCCCTTGTGCTTGTCAGGCAAGTGCTTATCCTACTGAGCTATCTCCCTGGCCTGCAAATATTTTTAAGTAACATATTTTATATAGGAAACTTTGGATGCTGCAGATTTCTGGCTTGTTAGAAGGTCCCAAATTGTATGAACATTGTTTTCCTAAAATAGCTATTATGATTAATGCTTATGCTAAAGTAATTATGCTGTTAAAAAATATTTTGCTGGCAGTTCCCAAAGCTTTGGGTTGTATTAATTGTATACCCATGAAGAACATTGAGATTCTTTTCACTTGTTCTTACCCTTATCACTTCAAGGGCTAAACTGTTTAAAATCCAACCAAACATTTGACCCAGTAGAACACTGAGTTCTTGGAAAAAAATAAATCTGTTCTAAAAGCTTATCTTTTAGGTATGTGGGTTTGTGATAATAAACTGTGAGTGAGGTTAGTTTTGTTAAAGTCTTGTCAATAGATGGAAAAAAAAATGTTTTCTTTTGAATTCAATGGCTGAAATATATTTGAAAATATTTTAAGAAATTTGGTTTAGCAGGGAAAAATAAGCAAATTAAACAGATCATTTATGACAAGTGTTATGAAAGTAAGTGAATAGTTAAACATGCCAGTCTTTTGCTCTAAAGATTAAACAGCAGCTGCATGACTTTTACAGAAGAATTACATTTACTTTTGGAATGGAAAATTAGTGACTTTGGAGTCCACTTTTAAAACTTCATAGTAAGGCTACAGACATAGCTCAGTGATGCAGCTCCTGCCTGACAAGCACAAGATCCCCGTACCCACCAAAACCATTTTAAGACTTTTTTTTTTTTTTTTTTCCTGGAACCGGGGATTGAACTCAGGCCCTTGCACTTGCCAGGGAAGCACTTATTCCACTGAGCCATCTCCCCGGCCTCCAGCAGAAACAAGCAATCAAAACTTATTAAATTATTTACATTTAGATTTTTATTTTACATTTAAATTTCATATAAAGCTTCATTAGTAACATACCATCTACAAGAAAAATGTTACAGGTGGGAACATTTTTGTTTGCATGTGATGACTATAATAGGCCACACTGATAGCACTGATTTTGGGAGGAGCTGGCGGGCCAGGCTCATGTTGACTTACAAGAGGGCTTAAACACTGTGTTTGAGGGGCAGGAACTGTTGTGAGAGGTTTATATGGGCCCAGAATCAAGCATTGACTTGAACATTTTAATTTAAGTTGTGTAAATTGTCGAAGGCATTTTTTCAAATCTGACTTTTAGAAAAATTGCTTACCTTGACTAAATTAACTGGAGAACCAGGAACACTGAGTTCTTTTATTTTTATTTTTTTTATTTTTATTTATTTATTTTTTTTTGTGTGTGTGTTTTGCTCCTTGAATGCCTTCAGGGCACTTTTGCATGGCTGGAGTGTTTTGGGGATCGAACTACAGCAAACTGAGGCTGCCAGCATTGTGGAAGCAGTCACTTAAAGAACTGAGCTAGGGCTGGGCCCCCACTGAGTTCTTTTAGAGTGACCTTGTTGAGGTGTATTAGTGTTTGGTATGAAAAGAAATGGGTAAGATTCCCAGGTGTGCATCCAGCTGTTTTCTAAGAGTAATACTAGATATTAGTGTAATAATTTAGTATACTTGGCTAAACTTATTGTCTATGAGCCTCATGACAGTAATGACTGGGTACTTTATTTTTGCCTTAACCATTGTGAATAAATTTCACTTTTAATTTTATAGTGTTTGAGACATTCTGTTAATCTGTTAGTGGTTAATTTCAGAAATGTTTGTCTTTAGAGTTACTCCTAATATCTCAGTTTAACCAAGGAAAATGCCAAGTGGGTATTTCTTTGTTGCTGTTTTTTGCTTAGGTTACTGAGGTTTCTTTGACAAATTACTAAGTGTGTAATCGGCATCACCTTTCAGTCAGTATTTATAGCTTTTTTTTCTTTTTGCGGAACAGTGGATTGAACTCAGGCTCTTGTGCTTGCCAGGGAAGTGCTTATTCCACTGAGCCATCTCCCTGGCCCCATTTTATAGTATTTTTTGAGGAACTCATGATAGTTTTATACAGTTTTATTTTTTAGACCAGCTTCTAAAAGATTTAACTGGGTAGAGATCACAACCCTAAAAGTATTTTAGAATTTAAAAATCCTTGGGGCCGGGGAGATAGCTCAATAGAATAAGCGCTTGCCTGGCAAGCACAAGGACCTGAGTTCAACCCGGTTCTGCAAAAAGAAAAAAGAAAAAAAAATCCTAGTGATTTAGAGATTTACTTTCTGGTAAATGAATGGGAAATAGCCAGCAAATGGCAGTGTTATTTTTGCTTGTTTCTCATTTTTGCTTTTTTGTTGTTTTTTTTAAGACAGAGTCTCAACTATACAGCCCAGGCTGCCCTTGAACTCACAGTGCTCCTTCTGTCTGAGCCTTCCAGTTGCTGGAATTACATGCATGTATCACTATGCCTGGAAACAGTCAGTGTTTTAAGGGAGCCTGCTATGTTATATTGGATTGCTTTTTTGGACCTACATTGTCTATGAAGTGCCATTTCCTCTTTCTATCTGTTGAGCTTATTGTCAAGTAGCAAAGAATTAAGTACATCTTTACTGTTTAGTAAAGTTGTTCTCTTTATTTTTCCTCAGTTGCTGTGGAAGCTACATAATTAAGCATCACATTTGGAAAAAGTACTTCTCTTCATCCCAGTGGATTTCTGAGGGAAGAGTCAGAGTGATTAATCATCAATATGTCCATATAATGACAAGTTTTCATTCTTTTTTGTTTGTGGGTACCAGGAATCAATTTCAGGACCTTGAGCTTGCCAGGCAGGCATTTGTGCCACAGAGTTCTATCCCCAGCCCCCTGAGTTTTCATTCTTTTTTTTTTTTTTTT